CAATGATTAGTGCAAATTCCACACATAAATGAGGCTATTATCTTCAAAGTATCTTGACAAAATGACTGCCTAGACCTGTTGAATGTTTTTATCTGAATATGAAAGAAAGATCTTTTGCCTTCCTACTGCCTTCCCCTGAAATTTGCTCATTTATATCAATAAAGAATTCAATGCATGCAGGAATAATCTATTAACCATTTTCAAACTGCAGCTAGGTTTTATAGACTTCTAAAATTTTTCTGTTCAATGAGATTGAAAATGTTTTAATACTTTTTGGCAAAAGAAGGAAATGTAATATTCTTGTCAGTAAATCAATCATCCACCATTTCATATGGGTGTATAACTCTGCATTAAGAAATGTACCAGAACAGGTACAATGAAAGAACGATAGTGACACATGCTGACAATAATAAGACTGGCTTTCAAGTTGTGACTGTCTTCTACATGTCCAGCAGCGGGCAAAATACTTTGTATGTGTAGGATCACCAGTTCTTGCCACAACAGCCCTCAAAAGCAAGTGTTGTCACTTACTTTTGTCATTTTTACCCTGAGGTAAAAATGGCAGGAATTTTTGTGACTACACATCAAGAAAAGGTTTTATCCATGCAATTACTCATTATCTTGTAACAGCTAATTTTGTTTCTAATAGTGTACGTGTATTCAGCACCAAGAAGTCTATCCCTTATGCATTTCAAGCCTACAAGTAAACCGTTAACAGAAGTAACGTTTTGTTGTCTATGAGCAAAGACTGCCATCTTGTGGAAATTGTACACATAAGAAAAAATGTCATCCCAGGAAGCCAAAAGTTTTCTTTGCCTTCATTAAGCATTGTACAACTTTGATTCTTGTGTAGATACACACACACAATTAAATGGTAAATTTCCCCTTTGTGTGTGTGTTTAAGCTTCAGTTAAAAGATCTTCATGAACATTTGAAAAGACAATTATGTTTCTTCATTTATTATAAGAATTCATCCCATTGGTCCTTATGGCAGCCCATTACACTTTACTAAACTTATTTTATCTAATTATTAGAGATTCTGTTAAATAAAAAAGAGGGTCGTGAGATTTTTCTGATGAAATTTCCAAGAGCATTAGATTTGTAGCAAGACATTGTAACAGAATTCTCAGTTTAGAGAACACTTTCATTCCCTTCCAACACTCTATCCTATGCCAGGTTACAATCTTGGAATCTGTTGACTACTCAGAGCTTGACCATGGGACCCTGTAGCACACTGGTTCTGTGTATCCCCAAAGGTAGGTCTCCCCACAATGTCCCAACCACCTAGTTGCAATGACCTGGAGGCCAACTCTACAAAAAGATCTCTGCTGTTGGTCATACCCGAAGACCCTTCCATCTTTCCCCACTACGAGCTTATATCACCCTACTAGATGAACTTAAAGCCCTGCAATTAAAGAAATTCTTTTGATTTATGGCCTTTTACTCCTATTAGAATTGAAATAAATGAAATATTATATGCATTCTTCAATACTTACTTTTAAGGCTAAAATATTCTTCAAGTTTAGGAAAAAATGTGGAGACAGTGGATGAAACATAGGCGTCAGAGATACCACTAAGGAACTGCAGTATGCAGTTCCTGAAGGAACAAGAGAATAAGCATGAAGTGAGGGCATTAAAAAAACAATTTTACAGTATGGCCCAGGCCATTCTGCCTGAATCTGCAATCGTGTTTCAGAATAAACTTTGTGCCCGAAGAAATGCTTGGCGTGAGGTCATTCTTTAAATATTTATTGAATAGATAAATGAATACAGATGAAATGGAATAAATTAGAAAATTGCCTGGGTGATAAGAAAAAAGGATTGGGTTCATTTAGCAAAAACCATGTTGGGTATATCAATAAATATCTACCTGCTTTGTGATTAGCAGTATGGAGGATGGTAAGTGCACATTCTAGAAACATTAATCAAGTAACCACAAATAATTATAAATGGTGATAAGTTCCATGGAGGAAAAATCTTACACTTTCACAGATACAAACTAAAATATGTGCAGGTGTAGGAGAGCAGTGAAACTGGGAGTTTTGAGTCTGTTTTCCAGTCTTCTCTCCATATCCATTGGCTCCACATTCACAGATTCAACCAGCTACAAGTCAAAAATATTGAGGAAAGGAAAAATGGGCCTATACTGAATATGTACTGACTTTTTCTTGTCATTATTCCCTAAGCAATATAGTATAACAACTATTTATATAGCATTTGCATTATATTGTTTTAAGTAATCTAGAGACAATTTAAAATATATGAAATGTGTATGTTATATACAACTTCTGTACCATTTTATGTAAGGAACTTGGGCTTCCTCAGATTTTGGTTTCTGTAAAAGGTCCTAGAACCAATCCCCCATGAACACTGAAGGACAACTGTATTCTTATTAAGCAAATGTTGCTGCAGTCTCATTTTATATCTACCTGTACTTCTAAACTCAAATTTAAGAATTACTTGTTCAGAGATGACTGAAGTTTTCCTTCAACGTATTCAGTGGTGCCTGACTACCTAGTTCCTTTAGATAGACAAAAACCTCATGGATTCACCTGTTTATTATTGCGGCATGCACACTTAACACAAGCTAATCTATTAATAGAGTTTCAGGTGTATAATACAATATTTTTGCTATAGGCAAAATATTATAGAGCAGATTCTAGAAGTTATTCATCGTGCATAACTGAAACTTTATATTGACTTATTAAGAACACCAACATCATTTAACTGGTAGATTTGATGAGGCCAAGCAAGTCACTTTGATGCTATGGTTGTGAATTTGTATGATCTTAGCACAGTCAGAAATTCCTACAAAGGGTGAAGGCAATATTTCTCCAGTGTCTTCCTCAAACTATAGGTCCACAGAGTATTAATATGTGTTACTTGGGAAGAGGGAAAGGAGAAGAAAAGTAAGTTAGGAAAGGTTGAATTACGCAAAAGCATAAAGGTTTTCTTTTCTACAGATCTTAGAGACTTACTAGGCTAACATTTTGGGAAATTTCCAAGTGAGTGTTTCTCCAAGTTAACAATCACAGGGCCTTTTTCTTGGAGAGGCCCTTAACAGCCAGTGTCCCATGGAATATACTTTTTGAAATTCCAGAGGTGCAAATGAATTTGTCTGGGATAAAGGCTAGAATACAGTTGACATGTAATCCATTATTATGCATAATCATTTTACTAATTATAATTAATCAGTTAACTGACCCTTTAGGACAACATTCTGGGTAGTATAACATTAGATAGATGGATTTCATAAGAAGCAAGGAGGAAAAGTCCAGGCTAGGAACAAAGAGGGGGATCTAGGGCAGCGTCAGGCTAAGAACAGTCATAGAAGGGTGGGAGGATGGGATGTGGCTAGCATGTGAAACCAACTCTCCATGATAGTCCCTCCATCTGGTCTCTCTCTCTCTCTCTCTCTCTCTCTCTCTCTCTCTCTCTCTCTCTGTGTGTGTGTGTGTGTGCACGTGTGTGTGTGTGTGTCTGTCTGTTTGTCTCTCTAGCGTGGGTGAAATGTTGATTCCCACCTACAATGTACAAAAACCTTCTAACCATGTGGATGATATAAAGCAGGTAAAACAGTACTGTGTCACTGAAAGTGAGTGACACACTCACAGGCTTAATTCCTCTCTCTCAACTTTTCAATAGTCTCACCCTCTTCAAAGAATAGAAAACCCAGGGCAAGAGCCCAAATGTGGGACCATATATCCTCAGTCTAATTATGTAAAAATTACAAATCAAGCTAAAAACTGTTAAATATGTTCTAGCCTCTAATCATAACAAATTTGTCTTCATGACCTGCGGGAGGTCAGGGTCAAGTGTCTAATTTGTGAGTAGCTGGGAGACCTGCATGGAGCCAGGGGCACAAGAAGTCACATCCAGTCCCAGTCCTCTTATCAACAGCTTTGTCCTACAGAGGGAGGGTCCCCTGCACAGAACTGTGTGCACCTGACCTCACATATGCATGCTGGGTCAGTCCTCTCTGCAGGCACCACTCTCTAGATCCGTAGTGGACTGGTGGCTGTAAGATCTGTTGTCAGGAAGACATCTCTGAGAATTGGCCTAAAGACCCAAGAAACATACTGCATTGTTGGGTCAGGAAAATCCAGAGAACTCTGAGGTGTACACACTCTAGACAGGACAGACTTGGCCAGCAAGAAGGGACATGGTTGTGGGGGGCAGGGGGGACAGAGCAAGGTAGGAGCCTAAGGAGGATTTGGAATTGAGAATAATTCCTCTATGAGAATCACACTATAAAAAGCTGCAGTCTTTGCAGCTACTCCCAGACTCTCATAGGGAGAGATGAAGAAGAAGAAGGGTATTTCTTATTTGAATTTAACTACTTCTGAATGCCTTTGGTCAACTTTTCTTCTTGTTCTCTAAGGTAAGATTACTTCCCCTTTGGCATAAAAAGGAAAACTAGATCAGTTGTGTGAAAAAACAAAAATGATATATTTTATCAACTTCAAACTTGTCCCAAGGCTTTCTTCTACACTGTGTTAAATAATAGAAATCTTTTTAATTGAATTTCTGTGTGTGTAGATTATGCTGGGCAATATTACACCAGTCTTGCTCTAAGCAGCAAAACGTTCTTCATAAAAGCATTAAGATCCAGAGGATCATTCTGTTTGTGGGGAACACGGAAATGCAGCAGCTTGAAACCACATCAAAACAACGCCTCCAAAATGTAATTGTGAAAACACACTGAAGCAGACCTGGTGAGGATATTAACAGTTATAGAATGGAAACAAAATAAGAAGAGGAAGAGGGAAAACAGAGAGGAAGGGAGATGAAAGAGGGGGATGAGTGAAGGGAGAGAAGAAAGCACTGTGGCCCAACTCTATGTCTAGAATGAAAGCCATTATGGTATTAGTTTCCTAATAGTCAAAAAGCTGGTCTTTAGATTCATTTCAGCCATCTTCAGCAATGGGATTATAATCAGAGTTGTCATGGACCAAGGGCATTACCCTGCAGTAACACGCAGTTATGTTCTTGACTCCAAGGATCCTGGAACTTCAGCAGAGTGGTGACATGGATATCCTGAAGCACAAGTGGTGGCCTAAGAATGGCCAGTGTGACCTGTACTCCTCAGTGGACACAAAGCAGAAAGGAGGTGCCCTGGACATAAAGAGCTTTGCAGGGGTCTTCTGTATCCTGGCTGCTGGAATCGTCCTCTCCTGCTTCATAGCCATGCTGGAGACATGGTGGAACAAGAGGAAGGGCTCCCGGGTTCCATCCAAAGAGGTACTTGAAGAGCTTCTGCTCGAATCTGAGCCACTGAGGGAGGCTGATCACAGGGGAGGATACTGAATTGTGGGTGGCCACTGTCTCTGCTTTTTTGAGGATCCGAAATCAATTTATGGAATGTAAAAACTGCTAAGGCCGATACTAATTTCTATTTTAGGTCATATCAGATAAACAAACATCAGGCTATGATATTTGAAGGCTGACAGTTTCACAGGGCTCAATGGGTTTTGACATTCTCCCAAATCTCAAGATAGACTTTAATGATCTTTAAAGGCTGGGGTTTCCTTGATGGATTCACAAAGATAATTAACCTTTTGTTTCAATTCATTGTTTAACTTGTAGATAAATTGTGTCTTAGAGACTAGGCCTAAAAAATGCAATGCTATAGCAAAAATAATAGAATTTTCTCTTCATCACTAGTGCCCACTTCTCTCTCTCTACATGCAGATCTATAGATAGAAGTAATCTTGTGTTGGAGGTTCTATCATGATTCCCAGGCTTGCCAAATTGACACCTGGGAATGATCTAGAATTCCATTTAGCCCCTCTGCACTTGAGTCAACTTAACTCCAAGGTCATTAAAATAGTTTCTGCATAACTGGAAAAAGAATTGCAGAATTATACATGCTATCTCTTTTAAAGTAGCATGTACCTTGTTTTGTCATAAATTATGAAGTCAAAAATAAACTACTTGATTCATTCATCTTATTTCCATTCGACAACAAGGGTGACATTTTTTCAATACTGAAATTTATTCACTGAGTCTTCAGAAGTTGAAATGAAAAACAATGAATTTGTTAAATGACTCGATTGGATGGATAGTTTCAAAGAAAGTTTTAAACTTTCTGTAACAAAACAAGGCTAACTGATGGCTAAGGCAAATTCTGAGCATATCTGCCTTAATCCACAAATAAAAAGTGACTGCTCATATACATATCGATTTTGGCACGTATTCTTTCAAGTAGATGGTTTTCTAAAATAGTCTACACCTTTATATGCAAAGCTGATCAGTATAACTTCTAAGAAAAGCTTGACTTAACAAACATAAGCCTGCACTTCTTACTTCAGTGAATGATCATGCATCCTAAGTAAGTGGAGATTGTAGTAAAAATTAATCAGGCCTTATTGGAGTGTTTTCTTTGTGGAATAAGCTTCTGCTATTTCTGTTGACATTGATTCAATGCAAAAGACCACATTAATGCAGCTTTAATGCAGAGACTTCTTACTCTCAAAAATCTGGAAATTAAGTGCTCCCCAAGCTCCTTATATTTTGAATTACTATATATGATATTAAATTTTTGCATTATCATATCTGTTGATGGATGACTATATTACAGTTGCTGTGGGAACCATGAAATTATATGCCTCAACCCTCTAAAGTCTCAATGATAATATTGCATTAATGGATATTTTTATTGGATTTTAAAATGAGAAAGAAGAAGGAAAAACAGTGAGGCACATCAAAACATTTTTCACTGAGGAACACTATAACAGCACAATGAAAAAAATATGTACCCCATTCTAACTCGTGACAGCCAGCCCAGCTCTGAAGAACAAATATTTTCTCCACTTATGATAAATAGATATTTTTAAATCCTCATAAGTTTAATTTATTGAGCTTAGCTATAAATAAGACTGATAACAAGGACAATTTTATTCCTTGCCAGTTCTATTTTTTCAAATAGTAGACTTTACTGCTCACTTTAGTGACAGTCCTAAGAAATTTGTTAATTGGGTTTCATCTCCAAAAACCTGAGGTTTTATTTCCTTTTTGTTCATTAAGCACGTTCTTACAAAAGTGTCATTAGCATAGCCTACAGTATCTCGGTTTGTTGCTATTTAGCATAAAACTGGCCCTAAATTAAAGCCACCACTCACATGTCCTGACTTGAAGGGGTCTCCAAATGTCCCACTGACTTCACGATGTTGTCTGACTCAGAGGCTAAGATATTTTATGTGCATGAAATCTCTCATTTAGAAATTTATTCTCTTGTGTTGAATGTTGCTCTCTCTTAAAAAAAATCTCATATATCCTGGTTTACAACAAATAACATATTAACAGTCATTAACACATTAGTATGGAATTACATATGATATCCCTTCCCTCTAAGAGTGGAAAGTTAAGATTAGGACTAAGAGGCAGAAAGGGAATAAAAAACCAACTTGGAATGAGACTGTGAAAAAAAGAGGAAGCATGTATAAAGAAGAGGTGGAGGGGTTCGTGGGAGTCGACAAAACCATACTTTTTATTTGTATAATTTTGCCTGGGCCTGTCTTTTATACAACGGTAATTACTTGTCTACTGCTCTCATATCTTTGTAGCTGCATGTGGCATATGCTCGCTTTAAAACTTTCACTGCAAGAAAAATATTTATTATAGACAGCTTTATCTCAGAATCATATCGGTATTCCCAGAAGCTAGCACAATTCTGACTCATATTAGGTGCTCAGTAAATATTTGTTAAGCAAATAAACCCCAGAGTTCAGTTAATTACATGTTTGCTGAACTACTTTTTTTTTCTTAAGCATGGAAGCTAGTACTGATGAGAACCTTATTTTCTTTTTCTTCATCTCCAGGATGACAAGGAAATTGACCTGGAGCACCTCCATAGACGTGTAAATAGCTTGTGCACAGATGACGACAGCCCCCATAAACAGTTTTCCACCTCGTCAATTGACTTGACCCCTCTGGACATTGACACTTTGCCAACACGACAAGCACTGGAGCAAATCAGTGATTTCAGGAACACTCATATCACCACAACCACCTTCATCCCAGAACAGATCCAGACTCTTAGCCGCACACTGTCAGCCAAGGCTGCCTCTGGTTTCGCTTTTGGCAACGTGCCTGAGCACCGAACTGGCCCTTTTAGGCACAGGGCACCTAATGGGGGATTTTTCAGGAGTCCTATAAAAACAATGTCATCTATTCCTTATCAGCCAACTCCCACCCTGGGGCTCAATCTGGGTAATGACCCCGACCGAGGCACTTCCATATGATAGCAAACATCTCACTGTTTATTTGTAGGGCTCCCTTTGTGAGGAGCAGCTGTAATATTGGACTAACATGGATGTAACTTTTTATTAAAAAAAATCAGGATGATTAGTAACAATTCTAGTTCTTTCTCCCCACCTTCCCCTTTCTTTCTTGCCCCTATTTCTTTCCCTCTTTCCCTCTCTTCTTATCTATCTCCCTTCATTTTTTTCATTACTCAACTTGTTTCCCCAGAATATAGTATACTAGGATCCTATTAGCCTGTTTTTCATATACTGTACTTCAAGTATAGGAAATGTGCACTGAGTATACTCAAGGTATATGCAGGATTAATTTTACATAAAGGCTTCTTACATACTGTCTCTCTATTTTTAAAACTATAATTGCAATAACTTCAGTCTTTTTACATTCTTCTGCTGCGTCCCTGCAATGCTCCACAGCTGTCGAGTGTCCTTTAACTGTGGACAAAAGGCAACCCCTGCAGTGTCTAGAAAATGATTTGAAGACCATTCAGGCCACAGAATATAAGAATGCAATTTTGTAGGATTACAAAAAAAAGCCATTAATATGCCAGTCAAGACTACAGTTAAAATTACTCTTGCACTGCAGCAGTGCATATGACCTTTATGTGATTGTACAGTATTAAAAGTTTTTTTCTTATGTACAGTAAACTTTATCATATGGCAAAAGCCTCTATTGTGTTAAATAACTTAGTATCTCATATCTATACATATATATGCACCTATATAATGTGTATATATATATATAAAAAGGCAGCCATTGCTATTGCAATTCATTTAATAAAGCTTTAGTTTAAAAAAACACAAGCATTGTATACAGGAACTATGTATAGTGCAGAAGGTCTTTTCAGTTAGAAAAGGCGGGTTGCTTTCATGTTATTCTGATTTGCATTGTTTGCCAATAGAGAATATTTTATACTTTTGTTATTAAAACAAAAACATCCAGGGCGATTTAATATTTGTTCCTAGATGTAACTCGTGAATAGGTTTTGCATTTGTTATTCAGCAGTGTATAAAGCTAACCTTGATAACTTTACTTTTAATATTTATCTAAATGCAAAATGCTATTAGCTGAACCACAACCACAACAGCACATGGAGCTCTCTACGAGTTTAAACTCATAGATCATTGAAGGTTAAAGATCCTCTTCCAAAGCAGTGAGCCAATCAATGTAACAACTGTAGTCGGGGAGGAGTGGGAGCCCTTCAGAAGTATTGATGTGGCCTTAATTATGTCATACCTTATCCTAAAGCAAAAATGTAATCACCATACTGGGCTCTCATCTTAACCCCCTTTTTTATTCAGTTCTATTTGGAGGAGTTGTGTGTTTTTTACATCCATGCCAAGTGTATGAGAAGGAAGACAGCAAAACCAGTGCCTCTTTGTGCACAGCCCTTTTAAAGTAGAACTCTTATCTGTTAGAAATGTAGACTGAACTTCGTTTGTAATCCTTAAATTAAAACGTGCTAAGTAGGAAGCAAAAATTTATCCTGTGTTTTTATGCAGCCATACACTTATTTTAATCTAATCCACACCGTGGCTAGGATTGCTATAGGGACCAACCTATGTGATTTGCTTTAGGAGAAATTAAGAGGTATATTCTTAAGGTATATTCTATTTTGATGCTAATTCTGTTCTGGGGAGCATCTTGTACTGTCACTGTTTTTGTACTAAATCTTCAAATATTGTCTACTGTGTAAGGCAGAAACTTTTCTTATCATGCAAAAACCATTTTGTTTCCAGGGTAACAAGTTCCTAAGTGCATGCACACCTTGTTTTCCCTTGTAACACTCATGATCTCATTCACAACTCTGATTTTAAAACAGAAAAGTCTTTACAACAAGCTATGTAGGGACATACCAGATGTTGCAGTGATCTCAGCTATCAACAAACTGTTAACCATGTACAATATTTAAAATAGGCTTATTTTGATGTATTGCCTATTATACAAATACACAAAACATTTTTGGAGGCCTCAGTTACGAGTGGCAGAGCTTTCTGTGTATAATTTGTCTACATAATTTGTCTAATAAAAATGTTTTCTAAACTTGCTTTCATACTGTTGAAGTCTTAACTGTAAGATCTAAAAATGCTTATTCTCACTGATCTATCTGAATTTTTCTAGAACTTTAACTTGAGTTCATTGAATATAAAACATATTAAGTTTTACTAGCAAAACTATGCCAAAGTATGAGTGGCTTCCTAATAACCATGAAAGGATGCCATAAACCAATGAAAGACTCTCCTCTTGACATTTGGGAATATTCAAACCAACCATATATTTGTCTTTCTTGATGGATGTCTTCGTGCACACTTTTTTGGGGAGAGATTTATCCTATTTCATGGAAATCATGCAACCATTATAATAATAGCAGGATGAAAGTTTGTTGCATCAAAAAAAGGAAGAAAAATTAAGTGTAATTATTAAACTTAGTTCTTACTTATTAACAAATCATTTTCTGTTAGAGAAATAGTCATCATGCTAAATTTTTTAATTTGGAATTTCACTCAAAATCCAAAATTACTTCTCATACATTGTTATTTTGGTATCTGAATAGCAATATTTAACTCACTCACCAGATATGTTTATTATGATGATATACTTAGGAAATATAATTTAGTTGAAAATCTCTGTTCTAAAATTCCATTAAAATATTTTTAATGTTGGAAGTAGGAGGAACTTAGAAATCTAGATAATCTCCCTCATTTGATAATTAAGGGAGCTACAATGCTAAGAAGTGGTGAGTTAACCAAGTGTTTAACAACCTAATACTTGAAACTGGCACTTTTTTTTTTGTAGCACTATCATGCTTCAGTCACATTCACACAAGTCTTTGTGGACTCTGAAAGTAGGGATGGCTCAGATACACCCATCGTTTCCACCTGGTCCTCTCACCAAGCATAGGCTGCAAATCTCTAGGATCCTTCTTTGTTCATTTGGGACCACATAGATCAACTGACTCAACTTCTCCTTCCACAAATGGAAAAGCGAGCACCTCATGTTATCTACCCAAGTTCACAGCTAGTTGAGGACTAAAGCCAGGTCCTCTGTCTAGTGCTGACCCCTTCAGCCATTGTTTCCCCATGGTTAAACCAAACTTAGTAGTTCAATATAAGGCGACTATCTTATATCCAAGTGATCTTCTTCCAGTCAAATGTCCAATTTATTCCATTGGTGGATCATTAAGAGATCTGGTTGCCACTTTAACCACATCGAAGCTTATGAACAGGTTTTGGTTTACTCGTGCATTCATAAAAAACTGTAGGAATTCCTTTCTTCCTATATATATATTAACCTGCAGGCAACTTGTTCTATTCTTTATTGTTATTTTTTCACCTTCTTTAGTTTAGGATTGGTTGTCACTTCAATAAATGCTTTTAAAAATAGACTTGCTGAGTGGTACTTTGCTTCATCAATTAAAAAGAAAAAAGAAGATGGAAAGATCCATTTACCAATAATACTTTCTAAACCCCACAATTTAATTATAGATTGGTATGGCTTTATAATCTGAATTATCTTCTGAATGACATTCCAGATTGTAAGTAAAATAATTAAGACAGAGTTTGGAGTTTATATGCTGATAAATATGGAGTTTATCTTTAAATATAAATCTCATGATGATTGATAAAATACTATGGCCTTACTAAAACTTGGCTTCTTTCTAAAGTATTTTTGTTTCTAAAAATAAAACTTATAGCCAACCCTTTTAATCAGTTATTAATGAATGGCTAACAATCATGGCCATAGTTACCAATTCAAAAAACTTTAGTAGATATCCTCTCCATAGCTATTTTAGCAGACACCCTATTATGAGGTATTATGTATGAGCTTCTTTGGGAGGAGATGACTTCCATGACACTGAAAATCAGGACATAAAGCTATTACTGATAATAGATTTGATCAACTTAATTAAATTTTATTAGTGTTTACAGAGAACTTATTCTGTGAAAGTACCATGCTGAGCTATTGAGCATGGCATAAATGAACCCATAGGTTCAGCAGTGGGTCGGGATGTGTTTTACCTCCTAGCTCTGTCCTTGCCCCATATTGACTTGTGGGATACAAAGGTCACTTACAGACTTTCTGAGGTGGTAGAATGAGCCGGATGATTGTCCCAAACCTGGACACTTCAACTGACTAGATCCATCCTTGTAGTTCCCAAGGGCTAATTGCGTCTGCCTGCTTAGGTTCAGACTACCTCCACAAAGAAGACTTGAAAATTTACCAAGATGCCAGACCTTGAATCCAATGTTCAGAAATGCAAAAACTACCTTATTGACAGACTAGTTACTCTGTAACCCTTATCTTTACCAATACCTGTATACCATTTAGAGACTGACTCCTTCCATCAGGTATCCATGTCAGAATGATGCAAGCCATATTAACTCATTTTCTATCTCTGCAAGTCTGTCATGATAGTTGGAGCTTTACAATGCTTCAAACAACTTTCTTCAAAGAGACCAAACAGTACTACTCAGGCTCTTTTTAATGTCACAACTAATCTTTCTGGCCATGTTTTCTGCTATTTAAGACACAGGATGCTGTGTGAGCTATGAGTAAAACGTTCTGTAGGGTGCTCAAGATGACAACCGCTTCCCACCAACCCTACATCCAGAAGACTGAAAACTCTCAGAGTTTGCTCCATTGTATAGAGCTGTACAGAGGCAGGGAACAGTTAAGCTGTAGGATCTGCTTGCCATGGGGACAGAAACAAACTGAAGGAGCTACCTCTCATTTTTCTACCTAAACTACCCAAATTCTTATTTTTCCAAGTTTTCATTTGCTTTATTTCCAGTACTAACCATTGCAAAATAAAAATCTTTGAGAACTTTTTTCATATCCATACAGTTTAGAACCAAGTCTTTTGATTAATTTTGCATATTTCCTAGAATTTCTTCAGAGACGAGAAGTCGGATACATTATCGACCGTACAGTGTCAACACAGCTGATCACCTGTGTAAGGAATGGAAGCCTGGCTTCCTTTTGAAGAAACTCCATAGGTTCCCACCTCAAAGTTGGTCATACATTTCAAAGATCTCAAACTATCAGGGAAGTGATCAGGAATTCACATAATTTTCAAGACAACATTGATTCTCATTAATTGAAAACCAATTAAGCTTTCATAACAGCTGCTTCACAAGGAGAAACATATACCACCAAATCAAAAAAAAGAATATGATGTTGGAACCAGAGATAAGATGAAAAATATTGCTTTTAGTAAATATTGTGCCTGTCACAAGAGTTGAAGTGAGTACAAGGCAAACAGTAATCTTTAAAATTGTTCTATTTTAGTTTTAAATTGCTGCTATTGGAAAAATTTTTAGGAATAAAATAGCTATTTAAGTGTTTCTAATTTGTAAAAAGTTCAACATAATATTATTTTTAAGCCCACATAGATACACATATGAAAAAATAATATATTAACTTCCTGAAATTAAAACAAATGACAGCTTTCCTATTCACTGCACAAAAGACTTATTCAGGTCTTTAAGACTTAGTTTCTCTAATATGTAATAAAATAAGATGCGATTTGCAAATTTTTAAGTTATATAGCACTTTTGGGATCAGAACTATTTCCTAGAGCCAGAGATTCCTGTATCTATCTCACACTAGGTGAATAAGCATCAGATAGCTAAGTTTAATTCCTTTCCAGAAGTATATTAAAATTGACTTTAAACTTAATCCCAGCCCTGTGTTAATATCTGTTTAAAAGAATTAGCTATATGATTTGTTGTTAGAAGTAAAAATATGCCAGAATTAAGTTGAAAATAGAGGTTTCATATGTTTGGCACATCTCATTTGACTTTTACATGTTAGAAATAGTTACCAAATAAGTAATATGCTCAAGCTCCCCTGTTTTTTAAGAAGCTTTGAATGTTAGTTTGATGAAACTATAGCTGAGTTATATATCTACTTGATATAATTGACACTAAATATCTAACACAAAATGCCATTCAAATATAATGTGGGGTGTTTTATTTGTTTTGGTTTGGGGTTTTTTTGGGGGGGTTTTGTGTGTGTGGTTCTGGGATTGAACTCAGGGCTTCACACTGGCTAGGCAGGTATTCTACTGCTTGAGTCACACTTCCAGCCCTCATGGTTTAATAAGTATAATACTTCTTTCCAAATCAATGTGCTAAAAATAAGTACTTCAGCAAGATGTACACATAACTGAGACTCCATGAGTCAATTCTGCGTGACTAATCATTTTAAAACTTTATTGCTCACTCACTCAGCTTTCTCCAGGGAAATGCCACAGTGAAAAGACTATTAATAAATTGAACAACAAGTGTGAAAACACCTCTCACAAGTTACAGTCTCCAAAGTGTTTGATTTATCCAACATCTCGATAACCAAAATTTAATATTTTCAATTAATTCTTTCATGTTCATCATCATTAAATGAAGTTTTTCTTACTCTATAAAAAGATTTTTGAGTCTCTTATTTTTTACAGGTCTTCCTACATATGCATAAACATCAGTAAGGCTGCAGAAAGAATATTAGGAACAAAGCAATCACATGAGATCAATCAGTCCACTGACAAATACTTTCTGAGCACCTACTATGAGCATGGTACCCTAGGCAGAATTTTCCTAACTGGTGTGCTGAGATTCTAGTGTGCTAAAATATTGCCCTTCCCCCCATTTCTTAAGATGGCAGGATGGGTCCCTGGGCTGCAGTTCTTGCTCTTGGTTTCTCCTCAGAGACCTTCCAATGTTGGAGAAACAAAAATGGAAAAGTTAAATAAAAACTCATTATAAGCCAAGTGGAGTGGCACATACCTTAGTGCCAGCACTTGAGAGACTGAGGCAGGAAGATCAGAAGTTCAAGGTCAGCCTGGGCTATATAGCAAGACCCTATCTCAAAAACAAACAAACAAACAAACACACAAAAATTTCATAGTATAAACACTAACATCAGCAGTGATGAGTATACATCTTATGATGCTGGATATATTTGTCAAATTAGTAGTACAGAAAAAACAATAAGAGAAAAGTGAAAATGTAGCCGGTGTGGATTGAGATGATTTCATGCAATGTGTAAAG